GGAATTCGTATTTAATTCGGAATCGTATTGTCGATCAAATTTCCTTTTATGGTAATACGACCACATGTATGGTACCAGCTGCAGGTGGTGACAAGGATTATGGCTTGTGTGAGCCCAGAATTGGTACAAGTTGTGATCTGAGGGCTAAGCGATAAGGTGACAGAGGCACCTGGACCAACTTCCCTAATCAAGACTCCTCAAAGACAAGATGAATCAATGGGTTAGGTAGTTTAAACTGGTGGCAGGATTTCTACACCCCATAGGTTCCAGCTCAGTATCACGATGGTTATCATTAAAGGTGATTTCGAAACCAGGGAATTAGAAGTAAGGTGGGGTGTGTAGGGATAATCTGCATAGAATACAAATGTATTGACTTGTACGAGTCCTCAGCTGTAATATAATTGATATAAGGCACTTATCAATAAAAACGTTTGCAACAATATGCACTTAGCATCTTAAAAAAAAAAAAAAAAAAGCTTTATTCAATATTTTTAAATAAAAATAATAATATAATTTTTTTTTTAAATGAATAAGAGTTTGTCTTGTTTAACTTTAATTAAAATAATTATTTGAGATACAATTGTATATACATATAAAAAATTATAAGAAGTTAATAACTTTCTTAAAATATAAAGTAAACTTATTAGGATTGCTTCATTATGTGGCTTGTTATCTATTTTGTAAGACAAAATATTAAAATCTTTTTAAGATAACTAATCCACTAAGATACTACCAATACCCTTGAAATAAAGATTAATTGTGAATATTTCTTCTACAGTCTGGTCCAAAAAAAACCGGAATTTTTTTTTTTTAGAAAGATCACTGTAAGTTATGCAATTGCCGCCCAATTAAAATTTTTTTTGTATAAAAAGGGAAACCAAGGGTTGTGTGTTACGTTGCCAGTTAATATTTTCTCAATCTTTAGCTAGTTTTGCGAGAAGGGCCTCTAGAATGTCAGTTGAAAGGAAAAACTGTCAGTGTAAGATTCTATTATATTTGTGGGAAGACAGTGTACATGACATAAAAAAATATATGCACTCATGAAGTTTTCTCTTTCAACTATCTATGAAAACTTAAAAAAGCTTAAAAAAGTTGGATCTAATGAACATGTGCATGGAAATGACTGGCCAAAAAAGATTAATGGAGCTTCTTCAAAAGTGCTTGAACAGTATATTTGTTGGAACAACTTTTTATTAACAAAAAATCTTGCAGTTAAATTGCTAGAAAGAGGTGTAGAGATGTTATATCAAACTATTAGATAACATTTAAAGAAAATTGGGTATTCAAAAAGCCTTCCACAAGCCACTTCTATGCTTACCAAAGTGCATAAACAAAATTGGATGCTGTAGACACAAAATCATCTTAGTAATACATGGAAACAAATATTTTTTTCTGACGAAATGACATTTGAACTCTACTGGAATATTGTTAAATGTTGGCACAAGATTGTATAACCACTTCATAGTATGCCGAAAAGCTAGGTAAAGATTTTTACTTGGGGGTTCTGTATTAGATGAAAATCAACTTTATTTCTTTTTCAACAGATCATGGATGCAAGTTTTTATGTGGGAATTCTTTGTAAATGTGTTCCAAAAATTAAAAGGATACTTGGCGATGAGTGGTACTTCTAGCAAAATAATGATTTAAAGCATACAAGTTGCTTGGCAAAAGCTTTTATCAAAAAAAATATGCTAGACATTATTGACTAGCTATCAAATAGCTCTGATTTGAATTTAATAAAAATTTTATAGAACATTGTCAAGGGCAATATGAAGAAACGTATGTCAAAAAATCATGATAAATTGAAATAGTATATGGATAAATAATAGCAAAAACTCCAGAATCGATTTGTATTAAATTGGTTCAATTGATAAGGTGATGTTGCAAACTAATTATAAAAAGTAAGAAAGAATGTATCTCATATTAAATTTTTTTTTAAAAAAATAAATTTAATAAACTTTGTATAAAAAAAATTTCACGTGATTCCATATGATTATTTTTGCACAATAAAAAAATAAAATTCTGATCTTTTTTGGACCAAACTGTATATTGTAAAGGGATAAGTTGAAATGTGATATACTTTATGTGACTAATTGTCACGAAAGGTACTGAAGGAACCTGTCCTTGGTTGGTGGTATACAATTATCTAATACATAGGAAAAGAAAGAAGAGATTGTAAAAAAGAAACCTATATAATATAGACTTGGCTTAATTATTGTTCTTAGAATATAGCCACATTAGTCTCTATAAATAAAAAGAGATATATAAAAAGAAAAAGATAAATATTAATAAAAAAGACAAAACTCGTTATAACAATAAATTACTTAACCAAATCAAAACACACCTCCTTCACCTTAAATATTACTTACTTTATTATTCTGAATGATTGACTTGCCGTTATATCTCCACAATATATTCCTTACGTTATATACAAAAATATAGAAATCATAACAGATACATTTCGAGAAAACTTGACTATTCGTCATATTACTTAAAATAGTATCAAATATTTTTCGTTAAATATGTTATCTAGTATACTATAGGAAATATTGAAGTAACTAGATGTAAACCACACTAATATAACCCGACCCTCCTATTTGGTCCTGGAATATTAGCCATTAACAAACACCTCTACTCCAGACTTCGTGAGAAGTCACCACTCCAATATTCAAAAAACAAATAATAATAAAAATAAAAAACAAAACAATAAAGAATAGTGTGTTAACTTTAGAACTGCAAACATACCTGTGAAGAAAATTATATAAGCATGAAAGATTTTCTGCTAAAATAATAGACTGTATAAATTTTCAAAAATCAGAATATGTGTAAGAAAGATAATGTATTTAAAAAAAAATTTTTTTTTGATTATTCTTTTATCTTGTTGATCTTGTGACTTATTAATTGCTAACTGATTAACATAATAATAATATTGCTCAACTAATCAACTAGATAATGGTATAAGCATTATATCATTAAAATAATTTGGATTTCTTGTTTTTATTTAATATAAAAAAATATAAGATACAAATAATAACAATAATAAATAAACAATAAATATTATTTTTAAAAATTAAAATAGGATTAAACTTACTTGAATATTAAATTATATACAGTTTGTCCAAAAAATTTTAACAAATTTTCAATTTTCAATTTTATTTGTAATTCAATTAATATTAATAAAATAAAATAAAAACTTAAATATATATATTAATTAGAATATTAAAAACAAATTTACTTAATAAATTTTATTAATATATTATTAAAATTTATTAAAATTTATTGTTATATCAAAAAAAATTTTTTAAAAATATTATATATTGGTTTAATTAAATTATAATAAATAAATAAATTATTTATAATATTTTTTAATTTATTAATTTGTAAAATAAAAACAAAATCAATATAAAAATAACTTTATTAAATTTTAAATTGCTTAATTAATTTTTTTAATTAAAAAAATTTATCAAAATTTAATATAAAATTAATCTATATATTATAAAAAAACTTTTTGATAATTTTTTTATAAAATTAATTTGTACTGTTATAAGAAAAAATAATGGATAGATGATAGAAAATTATAAGAATAAATATATCAGATATAAATGATATATCAGGTATAAATAGTATATCAAGTATAAGTAGTATATCAGATATATATGATATATCAGGTATATCAGGTATAATAGGTATAAAGTAAAAATGTATATAAGTGACCGAGAATGGTCAAAAAGTCAAAAGAACCAGAATAGGTACTGTGCAACTGTTAAATAAAAACTATCTTTATTTGATAAACTATTGCCTTGTGATTGATCCCAGCATTACATAGCTAATGGAATAGAGGGTACTATAAGTATAAGGAAGATTATAATAATACGTCTGCATCTTAAGAGAAAGCAAATAGTATTAGGGGCAGTAATGAAAAGACCGCTAAGGGGTACCCAGAAAGATCCTAATCTCGAACAATGAGATCAAAAAGGGTGTCAATGCTATGGAAGCTGTGGGAGAGTTGAGAAAAGATGACAAGTTGGAAACCTCAGACCAACCAGGAGAGCACCATGAAAAGGAGGAAAGAAATGATTAACAAAAAGACAAGCTGTGAAATCCAGGAGACGAAGTAGTATTAGTCACAAAGAACAATGATGTCTAAATGCCAATGAGTACAAACGTGGGAACACCAAGGGAATGGAAGCAAGTAAGGAAACCAGAAGACGATAGAAGTGACGATATTATAGGAACAGGAGAGAGTTAATAAGTAATTGCTATGTGAAAGATAACAAGAAAGGAACGAAAAAACAATGACATTGCAAAGACAAAGGGAGAATCAAGAGTTGATCTTCAAGATAATGGGGATGAAGTAGTGATAGTACTGACTGGTGACATTATGACCACGAGTGGTGATGATTCGGAAGGACCTAGCAATCAGGAGTTAATAAGCGACAATTGTATAAAAGGTAACAAGGGAGGAATGGAAAGCAATGACCTCATAGAAACAAAAGGAGAACCAGAAGTTGACATCCATGATGATGAGGATGGAGTGGTAATAGTACCAACCAGTAATATCATGACCACAAGTTGTGATGATTCGGAAGGACCTAGTAAAAAGACAAATCAAGAGTTAGCCAGTGACAACCACGTGAAGAATAGCAAGAGAGGAATGAAAAATAATAACCTTGCAGGGATAAGAGGACTAAGAACTGATTCCTAAAATGATGAGGACAAAGTAATAAGGGTACTGACCACTAACATCATGATTGTAAGCTGTGATGGTTTGGGAGGATTGTGAAAAAGAAAAAATCAAGAATTAGTAATTGGTGATAAGAGATACTATAACGCAAACAGACTTACTGATAGGAGACCTGATGTGAGTAAAGGTGGATGAAGATGTCATAAGGATGGAGGGACGATAACTGATAACTCTCCTGATGAGGGTAAAACGGAGGATGAAACGAAAGAAGGAACGGTAATGATTAATGCGAGGAAATTATGGGCACCTGGGTATGAAAAATAGTGGCGACAGACGAATACACTCAAGAAGTTAATGATAGCATATGTAAATGTCATTGCAAAACTAATACACTGCACAATGATGATTATTATCATGACAATTCTGATAATCAATGGAACTGTCTCAAAATCTAAGTATACAGGAATAATGCGATATATTGGTAGCATTAACAGGAAGACCGGTTGGTGCACAGAAGGATAGAAGGAAAGAGAGTACAAAAAGAAAACACAACAAAGGTTACAACTGACGAAGATATGTACTGACCATATCATTATTAAAGCAAGTGCAAAAAAGGAATGGTGGTGTAAGCAAAAAAGTAAAAATCGCAATACATGCCATGGGTAATAATTGCTTATAGTATTCACAAACAAGGAGAGGAAGGAAAATTGTAAAAAAAAAAAAATAGAATGAATGGAAAGGAAAATGAGATAAAATGAAAAATGAGATAGTACTAGTATAGTTTAGGATTTATTCAACGATGACATTAAATTAGCTTACCATGTTTATATCAGGAAATTTTTTAGCAAAGATCTCCGAAGATCTTCAGGCATAGACCTCCAGAGGACCTCCGTCATTGTTAAAAGACTCCAGAGCGAAGGTGTAACAAATCTATAGAACGTCCGACCGGAATCCCGATTTTTTCCCAAAAGTCAGAAGACAACCTCTCAAACGCTTTTAAGAAACTATGGATATTTTGATGAGAGAAACATCTTTTATTAATAGCCGAAAAGACATTGTCAACACCGATTTCTCAATAATCAAGGATTTACACTTCCGGCCGAAGAATACTAATAGATGG